CAGGTTCATACATATACATGGGCGCACGTTCGAGCCTTTAAAACTAACGGCAAATAAGAGTTGTACGTTCTGTTTTGGAGTGTAGTATATGTATATGTTTATGTATAAGTATATGTATGTATAGTAAGTGATGCGGGCGCTTGGCTCGTAAAAACTAATACATATGCATAGCTGACCCGTGCTAATGTACATGTGTGGGCGTGTGTGTGTGAGTGCGTGCGGTACGCACGCAATGACATTTGTTTGCGGATGTTGGGGGCGAAATTAAGCCAAATGCTTGTGACGCCATTAAAATGGAAAATAAAAGTAAATTCAAGCAGGCGAATAAATCAGTTGAAACAGCTTAACCTTTAATATAATATATGGACGCCCTGCGGAATTGCTTTTAATTAATCTAAGGCGTGTTACCGTTTTGAAACCAGGCGTTATTTTTGGCAAAGCTATTTACGTTTAATGTTTGTTTTTTCCAGCTCTGAACAACTGTATAATTCAACTGCTCTCCTGACTTTTTGTCTGTTTATAGAATAATGTTCTAATTTTATTTTGTCGGTAAGTGTTTGTGTTTACAGGTTCAATTCCCGTATAATAAATTTATTAAATTTTTTCAAATTTTATTTTTCAGTTTTGACTCTTAAAATATTTTTATAAGCCACTAGTTAAGTTATTTTTGGCAAGGCTATTTACAATTAGTGTTCAACTCTTTTTTTTCTCCGCTGCTAACAACTATAAAATTCCATTCTTATCTCTCTTTCATTGTCTATTTTTAGATTTTTGCTTACACGCAAGCTCTTGGCATTTTAAAGCGGTGCGCTTCGTGTGGGCACACACGCCATGTTTGTGGTGCGAGGTTCAATCCCCGCTTAATGAAGTTTTAAATTCAGTTTTAACTCAAGAGTTTTCCGCTCAACTTTGAGTTGAGTGAAATGCGCAGCATATGAGTAAATTCATTGAGCATGTTTATTTTTAGCGCTTATTTAGCTCTTTGAGGGTTGGCGAATTCATAAGCTATGCTTTAGCCTTTTCAATTAAAAAGTTTTAATGTCAATTAATGCGGGGCGCTGCGATGCGAATATTTCAAATTAGGCCCATCATGAAAGGAAGGTGTACCTTTTCGCCTCTTCGCTCATATAAGGTCACAACGGAAAACAACTCAACTTGAGATTGAGAGTGCGAGCAAGTGAGACGAGCCAACGGTAAATTATGCGATATTTTCGCCACGGTAAAGTGTGCTTCAATAAAAAGGATAACAAAATGGCGGACGGAGCAGTTGCTCACAAATTGCGCTCAATTTTTGCCGCTTTGCTGGCGCTAAACGAAATGACATAAATTTAAAGCGCCTTTTGACACGGCCTAGGCGCAAATGCGTATTTATGAATTAATAAGGCAGCTGATGGAGCCTTGTGCTCGGCATTAGCTCTGTCGGGGCTGAAACTAATTGAAGGTGACAGACGGTGCGACAGACAGGTGGCAGCTTTGCAGTCGGCTTACCTGCTGCTGCTGCTGCTGCTGTTGATAATGAAGACGGACGGGAAAGGCCTCACAATTTAAGCCCTACCCGACCTGGCGTCCTGGCCAAATCAAATCAAGGTAATTTAGCGTAAAAGACAAAAAGGCATCACTTCATTTCATTTTCGTGCACTCACAGCCTGACAGATACTGGCGCACCCCCATCTGAATTTGTGGGCGTGGCACGGCTGTCTGTAATTTATTTCTAATTTTTTTTCCTTCTACCATGCCTGCCATTCACGCACTTTGCATATTGTGTTAGTCCTGGCCATATATAGTCAATAAACAGAGCCCAAAAAAAAGAAGCGCAGAACGTGAGTCGCCTCAGGTAGAAGGTGCTTAGTATGCAGCTGACGAAGACACACACACACACACTCACCTCCATCTACACCCGCCTATCCACTCGCCTGCCTGATGTTTCCTGATTTCAAAGAGCACGAGCTGCATTTTCTTTCGCCTTTGCACTTGCTCCATTTGCTTTGGCTTTGGCTTTGGCTTTAGCTGTGGGTCTGAAGCACACTTCAACACGCACACACACGCACAAACAAACACGCACACACTCAGCATTTGCCTTTTCTCGTTTAATTTCAACATTTTTATACTCTGAGCCCATTGAAAATGAATAAACGGGGTATATTGGTTTTATAGAAATATATGCAAGTAAAAGTGCTTAGGAATATAAGAAATAAAGAGTATACACATAGGTTCTACCATATCACGAGGGGTGTGTCCCACCCGCCCATACGTTCCATACACATCCACTCATCTATGTACGCAACAGCTTAGTTATTAGGTGAGGATAATTGCTAGTCAGGCACTCCCGACTAGAGCACTCTGGCTTATTAGCACTAGTCATAGCCCGTGGCTCTGAGCTGGTCTTTGCGCGTGCCGATAGGAGGACTGAGCAGCGAGCAGCGAGTCCTTTGTGCCGCCCTCACCTCTCGCGCCCTGAGCTGAGCTGTGTGTAAGTAAATGATTGTAGTCTGGCTTGAATTTAAACAAATGCCAGATTGTTGTCGCTTTTTCATCTCGTTGCCTTCTCAGTTATTTAAATTATTTGTTTGTTGCCATTTCACTGCCTTCGACAGTTTTGAGGGGCGATGCTGCCCGGGCCCATGTACCTCTTTATGGTCGACTGTTCAACGTTTCCTGCATTATTCATGCATTAATGAGTTTTTTGTTTCGGTTTCTGTTTTTGTTTTTGTTTTTGTTTTTCCTGTGCGAGTAGTGCGAACAGTTCATAAATTTGATTGCAACAATGAATAAGTGAAATGTCATAAATATCTAATTAAGAGCGTGTCGAGCTCGCTGAGCGCAATGCCAATTAAACTTCCACATCAATTGCTGGGCAGAGCGTGGTCAACGCCCGGCCAGCTTAGCCTTATGTATCCCACTGATCCTTGTGCCATGAGGATATATTGGCTTAGGCAGTCAAAGGTGGGGCTGTCCATTTGAGCCACTCGAGCACATCTGCTGCCTCAAGTCGTTTTTCTTGATATCTTCGACTGACTTTATGCGTACATCTCGAGAACTATAAAAGCTTTGGACTTGAAATTTGAAATATATGTTCTTGTTATTTATACCCAATACAAACTTATGATTTTCTTTAAATATCTAATTTCGTTTTTCTATAAACGCAAGAAATTAATATATTTTTATGTATAACTTAAGAACTTTTATACATGGAAACAGCAAATTTGTTATAAGTGCTCTCATAATGAGTACATATGCAATTATAAATTCCTTTTTGAGCTACTGTCTCCCAAGTTCATTTAATTTCGTTTGGGGAAAGAACAATTAAAGCACAAGCAGCTGGCCATTGGAGTCAAGGTATTAGCTAGTCGAGCACACTCGCAATAAGCCCGCCAAACTCCATAAACTGTGAATCAATTGAAGTAATTTTATAGTTATTTTATTGGTATTACATATATTATTTATATTTTTACATAGGTTTAGCTGTTTTGTCGCACTTTGATAAACTTGTTGTTGACCTCTACATAGCGTCTATATTTGGGTTCATAATACAGTTAAGTTTTTATTTCGTTTTCTTTTTTGGAGCTCATTAATACATTGTTCATATCTTCTTTTTCTTCGACTTCAAATACTAGTTCAATGCACTTTGAACTTAATACTAAACATTTATAGATATATATATATCGACAATTGATTTAAATTTATATATATGTATATATATATACGAATACGTTCTGGATTATACCAACATAGCTATAGTGAGCGCTTTTCGTAGTGGTAAGTGCAAAACACATCTATATATATATATATATACTTATCTGATTTGTATACGACTTCGATTTATACAAATTTTATTTTTATTATATATTCTTCCAAGAATTTTTCAAATATTTTTTTATTTGTGCTAAACCAAAAATCATTAATAGAAATTTTTATTATAATTTTTTTTCCAATTATTTTTAATCGTTGATATTTTATATAGTTTGATTGTTATCCGATTTTTAGTTGAAACATCAATTTTGTTACTCTCTTTTTACCTTATTTCAGCAAATTTCACTTGAATGGAAGTTCGTTAGATCAAACGTTTCTCTCTATATATATAACACATATTTAACAAATGGAGTAGAAGACAAATATAGCTAAAGCATATAGATAAGTGATGAGCCATAAATATATATATATATATAATACTTGTTTTCTTAATTCAATTCTCAAAAGTTTCAATAAAAAATCATGATATATTCAAACTATAGTTAAACTTATCGAAATATGATATTTGTAAACGTAAATCTTCAATATCCTCCATATATAGATATCCATTGAATTTCGCTATTTCAACTTGAAGTGAATCCGAAAAATACCTAAAGAACTTCATTGATTTTTGCTAGACAATTGGATGACAAATTTGTGGAGCTTACTCTTTGGCAAAGATGTATACTCAAGATATATACATGTATATATCTATAGACTTTTGAAGTTATATTCGATTTTTCCATAGTTATATGTTGCTATTATATATATTGTATTCTTTATCCTGACTAAATTCTCAATTGTTTGTTTTGCAAAGTGCTTCAAGTATTTTCGTGTGTGTTTTTACTGCCCTGAACCCAAGTGTGCAAATGCATAAAGCAGACGGAAGAAGAACAAGTGCTGAAAAGATTGACAAACTGAAACGCTCTGGCATAAGCGTCGTAAATGCGTAAATCCCGAGAACTCTAAAAGCTAGAAACTTGAAATTTGAAATATATATACTAGAATACTATAAGCAACAGTAAGTCTATTTATTTTTCCAATAAATTACTTAATGTGCCCAATATAAACTAAAGTCTGGCATTCGACTAGATTTTCGTAGCACAAATTGAATACATTCAAAACTGGAGACATCTAATTTTGAATATCCTAAGAAATATATATTTATAGATTATAAATATTTAATATTTTGAAAATATATCCACTTCAAAATAACAAACTATGGTACCTAGCACAGGGTTCAGCGCAGCTCCCTCAGCTCTCTCGATTTTCTAACTGCTGTTGTACTATGATATATACATATATATATATATATTGTATATATAATATAATATTGAAATTGATTTGCTAATTAGTTTAATGCTCAAACTATTTGTGGAGTACATTTGTTATCGAATAGTCTAATACTCTAAGTTTGCAATTCTCTTAATCGGTGTGAGTAAGAAGTCGTTAAGAGTAAATTTCTTTAACAGATTTGCCATTATTTTGGTTGTGACCCGTATTTAAATAGTTCCTTTTGTAGTTGTGGCCGTAAGATCGCTGATAAATTCTCACAGTGTTTGTGTCTGGATCTGGCCCTACCTTATATATGAGTATAAATTTGTTTTCATTTGCCTTGTTTTGTTTTGTTTCCTTCTTGTAAATTTATTTCTAGATTTTGCTCAAATTACGTCCGTTTGTTTGTTTGCTTCTGGTTTATTTCACTTTCTTGCTCAATGCGAATTTCGAACTATCGAAATTTCCGTTTCTGTTTAGGCTTTTAGAATGGTTTCAGAGGCATCAATTTCGTATGCTATTCATCAGCCTGCCTTCAGTGGGATTCCATATTTCTCATATATTTCATTGGCTTTGATTAATCGGATTTAATAAGTGGCAAATAAATGGGCTGCTGTTCAGATTGTTCTTGGATTTACGGAAATTGTTTACTTAAAGTTTACGCTATAATGTTCCCATGCTGGAATATATATATATATAAAGGTGGGCTTAAATCATGTCAGATTACGGGTTACTTCTTAGTTGAGAATCCTAAATCTCTCTCTGGATTAGCGTAAGGGTTACGTAGATTCTTTGCTGGCTTGTTCCCATTCAAAAGGAAATGAATTTATAAAAAATAATATCTATAGAACTCATCGATTTGGTTAATACTTGTCCATTGCCTAGGCAGGCGGCGAATTCCTGTTGAAATGATATTTTTTTGGTTTTACTGTTACTCTTGGATCGTATCACAAGCAGAAGTCCGTTGGCTCTGCTTAATCCCGTATGAAGACAAATTCATTGTAGTGATTCCAGCGATTCTCCTCGGTGTCGACGCCTGGCTTGGGCTCAGCTGCGGAGCCAGCCGTGCCGGAGCCACAGCTGCCGGCCATGCGATAGCCATGATCGTGCAGATTGTCGAAGGCCTGCTCGATGAAGCAGTGCTTGAGGAAGAAGCGCGAGGTGTAGCGATCGGGACCGCCATGGTCTGGGTCGCGTGATTCGTTGAGCGTATCGCCGAAGACCTCGCGGCACTGGGCCACTCGGCCGCAGACTAGAATCCGCGACAATTTGCGGAACTTGACGTCGGCCAGGCCATCCTTGCCGAACTGGAAGCTGCCCCGATAGCCAATGGTGATGCACCCCGGTGGTCGGGCATCCCGATCGCCCCGTATGCACTCCAGCATCGCGGTCAGCTTGAAGTGCTCGGCCTCGCGCAGCAGGCGCTGCCGCTCGCGGAAGCCTTCCGGCAGATGCAATGCCTTGTCGCGCAAAAAGTCCAATATGTAGCGGAAGAGGACGCCATCGCGGTCCAGAAAATAACGGCCTTTGCTGTCCTTGGCCAGAGAGTCGCGCCCCTCGGGTCCCTCGAACAGCTCGCACAGCAGCGTTGCCTTCTCCTGCAGCAGGGTATTCAGAGTCGTCGTATAGTGGACGCCGCCAACATTTAACTCCACTATTTCGGGCATCTCGATGCTTGCCTTTGCTTCAAATTTCGACTTTAAACTGTTCTGCTTCACTTAGTTACTGTGTTTACAGTTACAATTATTTATAGCTGCCTTCGAGCACATATGGCAAGCCTGAGGCTTTGCTTGACTATTTGGTGTCTCCTTCTTTCTCTCTCTCACACGCACACACGCACTGATTTGCTTGTTGCTGTTGTTGTTCTTGCAATTGCAATTTTTGGCGTTGTTGTTGCTGTTGGTTTTGGCACGCGTTTGTTATTTGCTTTTGAACTTCGTCCGAACGGTTTCCTGTTTTGTCCGCTACGCGCGTCCGCACTCACTCAGCTCTCGTGTCGAACTGGGGGTTGTTCTCGTTGGTGTGCTCTAAAAAGATGTGTGTATGCATTGTAGAAACTGTGCAAAGAGCGCGCCAAAGAGAGCGCAAAAGAGAGAGAGCGGAAAAGACAGAGAGAGCAGCGCATCATTCGGCGCACACGTTACATTTGTTTTGTTATTGAATAATATTTTTGTTTAACAAGTGGTTAAATTCTTCAATTTTTGGGCATGGGCATCTGTCGAATGTATACACATATACAGCCTTGAGAGTTGGATGTGTACTCGACTCTTGCAACACAACGGAACAGGTAATGCGTTTGCTGTTTACAGCACTCATACGCACTGTGTGCCAGCTCAAATTTCAGGCAATCAGAAATTGAAACATCTTTAAACCTCAGTTGGCCATTTTCAGTCATTTTTCGGGTGGCGCTGACAATTTGACACCTTGGCACTGACATTTGCCCATTTGCCCATTTATTCATTTCGCCATCGCTCAGGGGCAGCAAACGTGCCTCGCACGACTAAACGCAACTGGTTGGCCTCGCCCCCTCCTCGAGCTGTGGGTCTCGGTCTGGGTCTAGGACAGAGGCTGAGGCTGAGGCCGCGCTGGCTGCCTGCCAAGTGGACAGCCTGTTGGCAGCATTGTCTGCCTGGATGTTCACCTGTGCTCACCTGTGCCCAGCAGCTCAGCAATGTTAAAAATTCATGTGCCTGTTGACAGACACCGAGCATTGCCTTGGCGATTCAACCAGCTCGACTCGCTGGCCATCAGTTTCGAGGCCGTAGTGCCACAACATTGTACCCATTTGGCCCAAAACACATAATGATCTCAGCTGAATAGTGAACGACTAGAAGATACTCTGCCAGATTCAAGGGGGAGTATTCGAATTTTGTTTGAGCCTAGAAGCATCTCAAATGGAATGGATAAAGTTGAGATTGAACTTAGGAAAACATAAATCTATGTCTCCAGATCATATATATGTGCTCTTATACTCGAATTGGCACATACTCTGATTCTCTTACACTCGTATACCTATACTCGAATACTCGCACGTAGTCCTATATTATTATAGTCGTATGCTCCTTTAGTCTTACTACTCATATAATCTTATGCTCGTCGAAAAGCCTTATTATCTTATATTCGTATTGTCTGATACTCTTATACTCTACACTAGACGTGTGCTCAAATACTCTTATACTCGTATAGTCATACTTTTATGGTCTTATATATATTTTAGTCTAATGTTATAGTCTTTGTATTCGTATTGTCTTATACTCTCAACTCTACTACTCTCATACTCTTATATTATTTTACTACTGATAATATTCTTATATTCTTATTCTCGCATAGTCACATATTTCTAAAGTCTTATACTCATTTAGTCTTATACTCGTTTGCTCTTATATTCTTATATTAGTGCAGTTAAATATTTTGATATCCCTATAACATCAGGTAACCAATTACCCTTATACTCTTTGACTTTTATACTATGATTATCTGATACTCGTATGCTCTTATATCCGCAGACTCTTAAGCTCTTATACTGTAATTCTGCGTTACTCTTATACTTTAAAACGATTTTACTCTCATGCACGTTTAGTCTTATACTCCTTACACTCTTCTCTGCTTATACTCTTAGACTCTTAAAGTCTTATACTCCTATTCTCTTAAGCTCTTCTCTTGCTCCTGATGAAGCATCAGTTTGAACTGAAGCATCATAGCCCATTGACCCATTTACCATTCGTAAAGGGTATTCTATATAATACTTGCTCTGGATCTCTTTCATCAGCTTTAGCAACAGCATTAACGCTTTGACTTTAACGTCGTTTGTGTTTGACTTCAAACACAGCAAGCAACGCACACGCACACACGCACACACACTTAGATATTCCTATAATTGAAGTAAAAACTTTCCCTCTTCAGCAGAAAAAAGAACGCATTTTGTTTACTGCGAATAGTGCTGGGCGCACAAACCCAGAGCCAAACCCTTTTTTTATGCTCGTTTCATTTGTTTGACTTGTTTTTGCCCGCTGACTGAGTTGGTTCATTTCCGTTTCCTGCTGCGCCAGTGCTGTCTCCTCGTGGTTGGCTGTCTCCGTGTGCTGCGTGTGTTTTCCCTGCTTATCAGTTGCCTGGGTCACCTTGCCCCCTTGCCCCCTTGCCACTACACATTGCTGTGGCTTCTCTGCGATGTCGAAATTGTGGTTTTTTAGCAACGCATTAAGATGGCAGCAACAATTTACGCGCCATTACGCGGCACGTGAGAGAGGCAGACAGCGAGAATGACAGAGATAGAAGAGAACATGAGTACTTTTGCGGCCAGTGGGGAGTGTGTGGCGCGCCTCCATCTATGCGGCGCTTATGGCTGCGGTCTGCGGCTCACTCGCCGCAGGGACAAACTCGGGCGTTGCGCAATCGTCTCCGTTGGATGCTTTTTGGCTGCCTCGAAATTGATTTTGTTTGCCTATCTTTGAGTGTGTCTCAGTGTGTGTGTGTGTGTGTGTGTGTCTTTGCTTGTAGCATTCTGTGTTGACAACACGAGTCGAGTCGCTGTCGCTTCGGTGGCCACAGCAGAAAAGCTGCTCACGTGCTTCAGCTGATTGGTTTGTTTACCTTTTAGCGAGGCTCATCAAAATATCAAAATTACCCGTAGGAACACAGCATTTTGGGGCAATAACAAGATGTTCGCATAATCTATGCAAATTTGTATTAAATATTTATCATGTTTAGGCTACAAATTCAGCAAAGTTTTAAATAGCTGAAGAAATATCAAAATATTGCGAATATATCATAGACAAATAAATGCAATGAGTACACTGAGTGTGAGTAAGCAGAGTATATTGGCTTTGGGAAGAGGCAGAGTAAGACCCGATGAAGAGTATAAATATGCTTAAAGAGGAGGCTGAGCTGAGTCCGTTTGGCCTAGACACTTTCGATTACATCAGCTTGATCTAGCCGTTTCAAGCTGTCCGGACGTCTGTTCAGGTATCTCCGAGTCGGATACTCCTACCGAGAACACATTTACTATTTCTCATTCACACTATCAGCTAGATCTAGCCACTTTCGTTAGTCCGTCTGGGTAGCTCCTAGTCAGTCACTTCAGACTCCGCCCTTCCGTCCGTCAAGGTATTTCCCAGTCGAATACTCCCGACAACAGTATACTTAATTCTGCTTCATTGCACTACACATTCGCACAGTTGCACAATAAATAGAAAATAGAAAATAAGAAATAGAAAAACAGAAACACAGAAAAGAACGCACAAATCGATATCCAAAACAGAAATTCGTATCTCAAGGTTTACGTCTGTCAATCAAATCTTTGGTGCAAATTGCGAATTTGATTTCGTGTGCAACGATTTTGCTCAATGCCAATTCCAATTCCAATGCAAATGCCATGACGAGTAGCACTTGTCAACAGGGGAATGCCAAGGCAAACACACAGAGACACCCACCCACACACACTCGAGCTTCGATTCTCATAAAGAGACACAAACACATTTGCCCGGGAATTGGCAGTTCTTAAATATTGACGCAACTAATGTATGGGGAATTACGATTGTTGATATTGTCGCAGGCAATTGAATAAAATGGAAGAGAGCTGGGGTGGAGGTGGAGCTGGAGATGGATGAGCTGAGGAAGCCCAGGCGAACGATTAGCCGAGTAGCTGCTATTGATTTACACCGTGGTTGGTGTAGCCATTGATGACTGTGGCCATTGTGCGCCACGGATAATTGCCACAAGTTGAAGGCTGCTCGCAAGAAGCGTGACAAAAACTCAATGGATAGAGATGAGCAGATGTCAATTAAGTGGAGAATTAGTTCGATTTAGAGGGGTGAGGGGTGGCTTATTGAAAAGAGGTTGAACTGGGGCAAGGTCAACAAAATGCTAAAATTCTGTTGAATTTTTAAAGCCAATGTATCATATAGAGATCGATCTGTTGACATTCAGCTGGGATTTACAGGTTTAACTTGGCAATCTTGGCTCTTAAATAGTATATAAAAAGGCTAAATATGTCTTGGAAAAGGCTAAACTGACAGCTCTGTGCACCGCAGCTCCTCGGCTGTGTATGCAGCCACTAGATACACGCGCTGCTGTCTCTCTGCAATGGAATGCAAATGTGTGACGGGCTGCTGGGCAATTTAACACCATGCAGTGCTCGTTCGCAAGGCGTGAAGGCGCCGCGGGGCAGGACGTGCTTGGCAATAGATTTAATGGCACTCGCTGCCTGGGCTGGACTGCATGCTGGCATGTAAATAAAAAATGCATAAGTATGCAGCGAACAGCAACAAACAAAAAACGTGGCGAAAAGGAGCAGAGGATGGAAACGTGGGCAAACATCACAGTATTTGAATAAGCGAGTAAGCGAGAGAGTGAGCGAGATAGCTAGAGCGAACAGAGACAGGCAGTTTGTCTGAATGTGCGCTATCGTAGAAGCTGATTTTATTTACTGCCTTCAGCAACAGTTTGGCAGCTGTGAAAGCTTCTCTCCCCCACCCCACATCCTCTCTTCTCTCTCTTATAAATAATGTTGCATGCTGCACTGGCGCTGCATATGAAGGACATTCCCGAAAGTGCTCGCATGTAGCTGTTACATGTAGCATGCGGCTATAAATAGACGCATTCGTTAAAAAAGAGAGACTCTTGCTTTCCACAATTTAAGTGGATTATTCAGAGCTGACAAAGTTAATGCCATTCATTCAGGCTCAAGCTGTGTGTGTGTTGCATGTGCTCTCAAAAATACTCAAGTTGTGATATGAAAATCGCATTAAGAATTATTTTTGGCAACATTAAAATTGCAACGAATAATTGATAATCTATAGTCACTAAAAGAGTGCACATTGCTACTATTGCTACTCTTTTTAAGCTATAATCAGTTGAGAATTGTAAGTGCAA